TAGTGGAAGTTCCTGACTTCAAAATCCACAATCCTTGAGTAAACATTGCACCTAAATTTTGGGGTTGGATTTGGTTGATCTATGAGCTGGAAATTCCTAAGTAGCATTTGTCCATAGATAACATGAGTCAAAGGCCTGACTTTTTAAAGGAATTCCATGTTTCCCACCTGAAGCAATCGGGGAAGACAACACAGAGTGGTTTTCAAGAACCCCAATTCCCTTGGTTTGAATGTTCTCCGTGATTTGTTAGTCAGAAATTCCATCATGTTTTGTCCCATCCCCCAAAAATCTCAGCTCCAATTTTTTTTCCCTCCTCAGAGCTGCCTTGTGCATAACAAACCCCACATTGTTCCTGTGTGTTCTCCTGCATTTATTTCATGTCATCTTCTTACAGGAAAGAAAAAAAACCTAGAGCTTCTCTCACTTAGCACCCTTTGGGACAGCAGCTGTAGATGAAGAGCAAGCAATCAACATGTCAGGATAAAATTAGATTGCCACGGAGTACAAAGTTTGATCCAATATCTGTATCAGATTTGGTTTTCAGCTCTGCATATCACAATAAAATAACACTTGCTGAGGGTGCTGGGCACGCAGCAGCTCTTTCACAGATGCTTTTCATCTGTGGAAAAGCTGGGAAAAGGGGGCAGGGTGAAATCAGCTATTTTACACTATTACCTCAATATTTAGCTGTAGTTATAAATCAGACATGGATGCAGGAGTTGGCTCTTTGCTGTGTTTCTGGGCCTCAGAGGGGACTCCTGTATGTCCTCAGTGCAGGGCAGTGCTGGAGCCAGGATTAGAATCCCAGAATATTGGGAGTTGCCCTTAGAGACAGCTCTGCTGAGGCCAGGGGGTGGATGACAGCTTGCACAGAAAGTATCTACATTTTGACTTTTCTTTTTCTACTAAGTGCCCTAATATTTTCAAGAAGTATTATTTGCTTCCATTTAATTGGACCAAAATTAGTTGATGTTGGGCAGTGGCAGCTCCGTGTGGCCACAACCACCCCTGTCTGTGCTGGATTAAATAAAACCCTTTTTCTGACTGTTTGTCCGTCTTCCCCCAGGTCTCTGGCTAACAGGAACTGTCTCCTGAAGGGAGCCATCAGGATGTGGGAGGTGTGGCTGGGATTGCTGTGAGGGTGCTGAGCCAAGGAGGTGTTTGACCCTCGGGCCTCGCAATTCGTGCCGCGTCGAATCTTCAGCCGGTGGAACGTCCTGGTGAGGGCAGAGTTACTGATTTGAACTAATTGGGGGTAAAATCCATTTCCTCTTGGGCATGAAAATACTGAAACACACACAGAGCCCTTTTGTAACACTCGTGGCCCACTTAATCTGCTGTTTAAGGAACTTAGCCGGGCTCTGCCTGTCCCCAGCTCTGGGGTTGGGGTGATGAGACTCCAAGGATGTTCTCCATCCCCACGTTATTTAATTCTCCAGACCAGCTCCCACTGCTCTGTCAATAGCTTTCGAATTAACGGTCTAATCTTGTAAATTAATGAGTTTGCACTGACCTGAGTGGAAGTGGATCAGCTCTGAGACTGTGGGCCCAGCCAGGTGCCCTTGTTGGTGCTGCAGCTGAAAGTAGTTCACCTACTTTAGGCACAACCCTGGCACCTCGAGCTCCTCCGTGTCTTTGGAACTCATTAAAGCCTCCATTCCTGCCCTGCTGCTCCCAACAAAGAGGGTTTTAATCATGGCATTTTTGATTTTGTCCTTTCTCTACTCCTTTATCTCAAGCAACTGCTCTAAAAAGCTCTTGTTAGCCCAGGATTTCCTGAGAGACAAAACTCAACACCTGCTCTTTCCAAATCCCTATGGGAGGTTTGAAAAATCTTATTTCAATCATTACCATAACAAGGCATCTCAAACAAGACCAATATTATCAGAGCAGCCAATAGGTGATGGAGATGTTTCCAGTTACTGTAAATTGTTGTTTTCTATGGAAAACACAGTGAGTCTTGAAGAGGGAGCACTCTGAAAATGCTGGGTTGTCACCTGGGATGCAGAAACTTCAATACTGGAGGATCTATAAACAGTAAAACCACATCAAGAGAAAACAATCTGTTATCATTAGCTGGGGAGACCAGGTCGTCAATGTATTTTGCCTGAGTTTGCTTGTTGTTGCATTCAGGGATAAAACCTTGCACAGACCAGGCTTTCTACAAAATGAGTGAGGGAAGACGTCAAAGGAGTAAATGAAACAGATGAGGAAAAGATCTGCACTTTTACAAAATGGGCACAGCCAGGGAGAGACCTTAAAAAAAAAAAAAAAAAAAAAAAAAAAAAAAAAAAAAAAAAAAAAAAAAAAAAAAAAAAAAAAA